ATAGTAAAGTTCACTAATGAAAGCTAGTTCTTTGAAAACATTTCTATAAAACTTTCTGTAGGTATTACCAACTACAAAAATAGAAGCAGAAATAAGTAATATTAGTTAAGAAAAACTCTACAAAATATATCTGCAGAAGAAATTTAAAGGTCATAAGAGAATACTATAAATACTTTATCACTGCCTCAGTATAGCACATGGTGGGTAAGGAAAAGATCCAACCTAAAGAATTATTTTAGCTAATAAACAGAAAGGAATGATAAAATTACCATTCTGTATCTCTCTAATTGATTAATGGATGAGGGCAATGATCCTCAATGTCTTCCAACATCAACACAAAGAACATAGGAGACATTGTGAATATCTTAATGGAAAGTGCACAGTGTCACCTCTGGAATAGTGTTACCAATAAACAAACAAACAAATATATAAACTTTAATCTGCTTAAATTTCTTTCTATTAACATTAAGGATTGTTGATGCTGAGTGTCAGTTATATTGGGTTCATTATTCTACATACTGTTGTATATGTTTTAGAATTTCAATGATAACATGATTTTATTATAAATAGCATGCCTTTAAATTTAAAAATCCAATTGAACTGGAATATTTTAGTAAAATATAAATGATTAAATAGGTCAATAAAGAAATTGAAAACATAATAATACAAAGCTAAAATTGTAGTTAAAATCCAAGGAACCCTAAAAATATTCCCAGACCAATCAAATTTGGAGGTGAAGGAGAAACAAATAAAAAGTTTATATAAACTCTTCCAAACCACACTAAAAAATGGGAAATGACTCATCCATTCTAGTGGCTAGCCCTCTTTGGGACAAAGAACAGATAAGGATACCCTGAAAAAAGAACATGTGAGCCAAGCTCACTCATATATAGTAGACAAATGTCTTAACTGTATACCATATGAAATACAGTGGTGAATTAATAAAGAAATAGGCTGTGTCAAAGGAATGCAAAGATGATAGCACATTAGAAAAAATGAATCAAAATTCTCTGCAATAAAAAATAGGAGAGAAAAAGCATTTGATCATGTGTGAGAATAAAGAAAAAGCTTTTGATAAAAATTCAACAAAAATTCATGCAAACTTCTAAGAATGGAATTTTCATATCATAAAATCATCACCAAATATACATAAGTGTGATAAATTATAATCGTTCCCAATAAAGTTGGGAAAAGCACACAGAGGTATAATGCCACAAACCTGGATGTGAGAGTATGACAGGACACAACCATGCACAAGAATAATAAAATAAATAAGATGTATGAATAACTAAAAGAAATATAATAATAGTACCAATATGACACTATAATTAAAAATAAACAAATAGGCAAACACAATATTCAAATATATCAGAAATACATCAAAAAGCTAGTATATAGGAAATTACTGGAGCAAAATCAGAAGCTTGGTCACACGTAATCAATAACTAATTAGAACATATAAAGAACAATATACCAGTCAAAACTGAAACAATATCTGAAGGGTACCTAAAACAAAACTTTACAAAGCTCTACAAGATCTTTATGGAGGAAACCATAAAAATTTACTAAGAGAATTAGAGGGGGAAATGTCCTAAATAGAGCAGTATAATATGTTTACTCAGGGAAACAGAATATTGTAAACATGCCAATTGTTATATTATTTGCAGATTCGGTGCCTTACCCACAGCTTCCAGGATGACAACCAAACTTAAGCTGCTATTTCTTGTGTATAAAATCAACCACCCTGGACAAACTAAAGAAAGAATAAACAAAACAGTATCAATAATAACAGTAAAAAATTAAGGAGAAACCCCTGAGGGGCAGTAAGTCTATATTGAACTAGCATTCGTGTGGGTACAGTTGAGGGCGTGCCCTGAAGTTGAGACAGGTCTACAGAAGACAGGATTGGCTGGAGGAAAATTTTTAAAGTTATGCCTTTGATTCTTCCAACATGCCCTGGAACAATCAATTTTTACTACTTCATTGAAGGAACCTGAGACAGCACTTCAGAGTCTGCATGCTAGGACCATGGGGTAATATCAAGACAACCCCAAATTTTGGGCCTGTTAAGGTAGTATGACTCCAGAGATTGTCCTAATAACCACTTGAAACTTTTTGTTGGTAAAGACTGGGCTTTCTAAAATAGCCATTTTAACAAAATGTAGGGTAAAATGAAAATAGAATAGTGAGAACTTCTGAGATATAGTGTCTTAGAAAATTTCAAGTATGTATAAAACATTATTATTAACCACTGTCACTATGCTTTGCAGGTTTCCAGAACTTCCTGATATTGTAAAGGAAAATTTGTACCCTTTGATCAATATCTCCACTTTTCCTTCACCACCCCCATACTCCTGCCTCTAGTAACCACCATTCCCATTCTAATACTATGAAAGTGACTTTTTAAAATAGATTCCACTTATAACATATTATGGAATATTTATCTTTCTGTGTTGGCCTTAATTAACTTAACATGATATCATTTTAGTTTCTTTGTGTTCTCAAAAATACTAGGACTTTTCACAACACACACACAAAATGGTAACTATAGGAGGTAGTGATATCTTAAATACTTTGAGTGGAGTAATTATTTGACAACGTGTGCATATATCAAAACATCACATTTTGTAATATATAATGTTTTGTCAAAAATATGAAAAAGCAAAAAGGTAATAGAAAATAATAGCACAATAGGTATGCATGTGGAGAGAAATTCTATTAGAAACATTGAACAATGACACTGCTGTCAGCCAAGGGCGAGCCCGGGCAGAGCTGTCGGGCTAAGGAGCATCCCATTTTCCCACGGGGTTCCTGAGGGACCTGGTCAGGAAAGGAAGGCTTTGACGTCCCAAAGGGAAGAATCGCAGGCTGCCTGACTCAGGGCAGGCGGCCCCTCCCAGAACACGGGAGCCCACTGGGGTCGCAGACCCTGCCGCCATGTCTGAGTGGCCGCAGGTCGCAGTGGCCCGTTGTGCACTGTACACTGAGTAGCAGTCTTGGGGAGTCGAGGCCTTGATAGAAGGGGTACCAACCAGGACAACTCAGGGGCGGTGGCCCAGCACCTGCCAGGAGCCCAGGGAAGGCATGGACACGGGGAGGAGGGGAACAACCATTACTGTCCATCTTGGGAGGTGCCAGGTATGGCCCCCACTTGTTGCCCACTGGGGTTCTGAGGAGAATGAGGGCCGGGGACTGAAGCCCGAGGACCCCGCACAGCAGGCGGAAAACTCTCAGTACCTGCTAAGAACCGATGACAGTCCCTTGAGTGCAAAGCCTGCACGATGCTGCCCGCCATGAACAAGCCCCCGCTTCCGGCTGGCCCATCCCGCCTGGCCGGAAGTGTCCCGGCAGGACTTCCTGCGAGCCACTCTGCTAGGGACGAGGCCTTGTCAGACAGCTGCTGTCCAGGGTGACCCGAGGGAGGAACCCCACGTCCTGTCAGCGTCAAGGTGTACGCTGTCCTGAGTGGGGACTGTGGGGATGCGCGCCAGGCCACTCCAGTCCCGTTCCCCTGAAAAGAGGGGGCCTCAGAGACCCACTCCGCCCCGCCCCGCCCCGCCCCGCCCCGCCCCGCCCTGCCATGCCCTTCGCTCCGCCCTGGAGGCCCCAACATGGCAGTCAGGCCCAAAGATCCTTGCGTTCCCGGCGAATAGAGGCCCCAGTCAAGGGCAGTGGACTCTGGCTAAGCTCGAGCTGACAGAGAAATGCCCGGTCCCTTAGAGGAAAAGAGGAGAACTTCGTGAAGAAGGCAGGCACCCTGAACTCCCTAACAGGGCAAACGGGGACCTGCTCCTGACATTGGCCTGCGAGGGTCCGGGCCGGTGTAAGGACCGGGGTGCTCTCTCCCTTGGCCCTCAGGAGAGTCACTGAGGTGGGGGCCCTGGACTAGAGGTTGGCAGCAGGTGACAAGAGATGATGTGCAGGTCGGGGGAAGATTCAGGTTGAGGAGCATGAAGATTCGTGGACCTCTCAGTCCATAACAGGGAGGACTGCCCGGAATCCCTATGTGCTGCCAACCAAGGAGGCCCAGGCATTCATCAAGCCGAAGGGCCCCTTAAAACCCTCCGGGATCACGGTGGCGGGGGCGTGCGGGGTGGGGGGCAAGTCTTCCGCTGAGCGGTGGGATCAGCGCTTAGCAGTGCGAGGAACCGTAGATGCCCGCGCCCGGGGTCAAACCGGGTTGGAGGGAGGCCTTTGGGAGCACTGACAACGGAGGTCCATTTGGTGGTGTGTCCATACATTTGGAAAAAGCAGGCCAAAGCACCCAGACAAGGCCAAACTGAGTTCCTCCTCCGGCTCTTGGCTGGGCGCCGACCTTAGCGTGACTGGAGCACAGAGGCAGAGGAGGCCCTGGCCCTGGCCGTGCCAGCCAGGGAAACTGAGTGAGGATGAGGGGAGACCCACCGTGAAGGTGTGATGACGGTAAAGCCAGCAGTCAGCAGAAAGGAGGGCGCTGAGGGCCTACTGAGCGTCCGTGTGAGAAGTGGGAGTGAGAGCTGGGGCCCCCGCAAAGTCCAGGACGGACAGGCCTCCAGAGGCATAGCCATTCTGGGTGTCCTTGCCAGCAACACCATCTCAATTCGTTCTTGTGGCATCTCGGGGGTGTGAAGTGTCTAATTCAGAGCAACAGCTGGGAGTGGGACCTGGGTCATGTTAATAATTAACTCCATGACCCTGAGTGTGAACGGAGAGCACCCCAAAGCCAGGGACACACGTCACCCCTGCCAGCCCCTGTACTCACCCGAGGAGCACCCAGGCAGGACTCGAAGGCTCTGGCCTAGGGCTCTCTCTCCCCTCCTCGGCAGGGTTGTCAGGGGCCAGGCTTCTGAGAACAGGAGGCTCCTGGGGGCTCCTAGAGCAGTGCCCTCAGGCCCTGCAGAGGCGGCCTTGGTTAAATCCACGGTGGAGGGCACACACCAACTCATTCTCCCTCCCCTAGGTGCCGACGTCACCTACTCTCCTGCCCACACTGGTGCCTGCTGGTCCTGACCGTTGTCATCATGCCTCGGGGGCAGAAGAGTAAGGTCCGTGCCCACGAGAAACGCCTGCAGGCGCAAAGTGCGTCTCAGAGTGTCAAGGGCGCCCAAGCCGCCGCGGCAGAGGCTGAAGAGTCCGCCTCCTTTCCTCTTTCTGGGGAGTCTCCCACGAGCTCCTCTGCCCCTGGTCCATCCCAGAAGCCTCAGCGAGCCCGGGCCACTAGCTCTCCTGGGGAAGGCGTGTCGTGCCCAAGATCTCATGAAGCTGCCAAGAGCCAAGATGAGGAAAGTGCAAGGGCCTCCCGGGCAGCACTCTCCTCTCGGAGGGCTCGCAGAGATCCTCTCAACAGGAGGGTGTGCAGGCTGGTGCAGTTCCTGCTGGAGAAGCTTCAAAGGAAGGAGCCCATCACGCAGGCGGCGCTGCTGAGGATCGTCGGCAGGAAGTTCAAGGAGCAGTACCCTGAGGTCCTCCGGAGAGCCTGTGAGCGCCTGGAGCTGATCTTTGGCCTTGAGCTGAAGGCTGTCACCCCCAACAGCCACACCTATGCCTTTGTCAACAAGCTGGGCCTCCCGATTGAGGGAGACCTGTGCGATGACGAGGTGGTGCCCAAAACCGGGCTCCTCAATGCTCTCCTGGGGGTGATCTTCATGAAGGGCAACCACGCCACTGAGGAGGAGATCTGGGAGTTCCTCGGTGTGTTCGGGATCCATCCGGGGACGAGGCACGTCATCGTGGGGGAGCCCAGGGAGTTCATCACCAAGGATCTGGTACAGCAACGGTACCTGGAGTACCACCGGATGCCCGGCAGTCGTCTTCCACGCTATGCATTTCAGTGGGGCCCAAGAGCCTACGTTGAGACCAGCAAGATAAAAGTGCTGGAGTTCCTGGCCAAGATCAATGGCACTGTCCCCTCTGCCTTCCCCAACCTGTTTGAGAAAGCATTGAGACATGAGGAAGACAGAGCATGGCTCACGGCTGCAGCCATGGTTGCCTCTTTTGAGAAGGGCACTGCCCCTTCCAGGGCCAAGTAGAGCAGCTCCTCTCACAAGTAGGGAGGCGTGGGGCAGGCGTGTCACCTTGCCTTTGAGGAGAGTAGTCACATTTCTAACTAGTGGAGCATAGTGGGCTCTGGAGGGAACAAAACATGTACTTGTTTGGTTTCTTTTTCTTCTGTAGATGAGTACCCTTTAGCCTATATATATTTTTAAATGATGTTCCTTCTCATTGAAGGTTTCTTTCCTTACACATCTAAGTTGTATTAATGCCTTGATGCCACATTTATTACATTTGAGATTTAAGATCAAGAGTTCCGTTTGTGCAAATTGATTGAGAAGCCTTCAATATTCATTTTGGTACTGAGCAAGGTAATATGGAATAAGAATAGTATTTTCTGTGCAAGTGTGAAAAAACTTACAGGAAAAACTTGGCTATACACAATGGTGAAACAAAAGTAAAGGGTTTTTAATTCTTACTTTGCTTTATTCTCATTTTTCTTCCTGTAATATTAAAAAAAATATACATGGATCAGCTTAATTCTTCAAACTGTTTGAGAAATTAAATTGGAATGTATTTCCTTTTTGCTCATGTCCTTCTTTTACCTTCCAGCATTAATAGACCAGTTGTTCTTTGGAACTCTCTAATGGTACCGGCAATGGTAAGAAAAAGCAGACCAAGCTGCCGCCCATAGCAGTGAGAGTCTAGCAGCAGCATTGGTCTTATGGGAAGGATGGTGGCATGCGTTGTAAGAAATGAGTAAATGACAATTAAATAGCAGTGGCGTGGAGACGGGGTGTTGGGGATGAGAGCAGTTTATTGTCCATCGTGTGGTCAAGGCAGTGTTGGGCCTTGGGAAACAGCCAGTCCCTGGGGGTGGGGGACAGGTAATATTCACCTGGGCTGCATGGTGGGCTTCAGGAAGCTGTGGAGCGGAGGGTGGGCCCCATCCCTCACAGGATGGCTCTCAGAGTTGATTGACCGAGCTTGGAGGGGACAACAGATCTTAAAGGTTCCTTTGGGATGAGGGAAAACCTGGGAAGACTCTCCACCTGGGTCCAGGCTGGAAGGGGTCCTGTGCACTTGTCCCAGAGCAGGTGAACACAGGGCATGAGCTAGGTGGTTTTGGCAGAACGTGTCCCGAGTTTTTATAAGAAATAAGGGTGATAGTCTCTTGAAGTGAGATGCCGAGAAGGCAGTGGACAGTGACTCCTTTCATGGTGTGGGAGAGGCAGGGCTCGCTGCAGGAAAATGGCATTTTCCTTAGGGAATTTGCCTGGAATTTGTCAAATTCTAAGGGAGGGCTCTATTTACAGTGATTATGAAATGAATAAAATTGCGGGTGCTTTTCTTCAGAAGGCACCTTGGACAGAAGTTTTCAGTCCTGAGACATGAGGACTTTGAGTTGCATCCCGTTGGATAAGAGGACCTCACACCCATGTGAATAACACATGCTGTGATGGGGAAATTCTGCTTCATTCTACTTGCTCTGCAACACTTAGGCCAATGTGATATCCACGTTGTGTACAGTTGCATATTCTCCCATAGAGGACAGAAATAACGTTCTGTAAGCTAAGACTTTTATTATTGGGGGCCAGACATCATCTTAGTAATAAAATTCATGCATTAAAAATGTCAAAGTAGCCTAACGCAGGCCAGGTGGTTTATTTGTTACATATTTGAATGCCCATAGTCCTTCACGACAGACTATCAGAATCGCTTTGCTGGTAAAAGTCCTGGAATAGTCTGACATTCCACTCTGCAAAGTGGCAGAGCTGGGCTTGACTCTGGCTCTGATTTCCTCCAGAGTCCATGCTGTGCCACTCCGTCAAGTCTGAAGCAAACCTCATGTCACTTAGTTCATTTTCCTGCTTATGCACCAAAATGAATTCCGAGACCTCAAAACACAGACTTCACACTCAAGATAGTGATTTGGACTATGCAGCCCGGGGAATAAGTAATAAAATAAGAAAATAAATAGGAGGACCAAAGGAAGAAAGGCAGAGATTGTGTTTTGCTGCTGAGAATGAGGAGAGCCAAGGGAGGCATCCCAGGTCATTCAGATACAAGGGTAGAACCCTGGATGAGAGGTGGGGGAACACAGACTCCAGGTCCGTGAGGCGGCACGCAGACTGCCAAGCCATCAACCCGGGGATGCCTTGGGCAGAAGAGTGAGACGGACTCCTTCAATAGTGTGACAGAGATGTGAGGGCCTTGGTCTAATGGAAGGGGCCTCAGGTAAGTGAAGAAAAGAGTTCCAAGTCCTTCCAGGAGTTACAGTGAGGACCCAGAGTGAGGAATTAGGGGACCTCCAGTCCCAGAACTAAGAGGGCCACACAGCACTCTGGCATCCTTAGATGCCATGGATACCTGGGCATTGTTGACATGATGTGACATAGTTCCTCCTATGATGTGTCTATTGGGTGAGGGTCTTAGTGTAAGGACTGTGGCCTGAGGTCAGTAGAGGGAGGTTTCTAGGTTTTCCTGAGGCCAATGTGAGTATCACAAGGACCCGGGGAACCACATACCCACCACGGTGAATACACCATAAACATCATTCCTTAATCGGCCTCAGGAAACCAAGGACAGGTATAGTCAGAGGAGGAGATGCTCACTGCCTTCTAGGGTCTCAGGGTGGTACAGGCCTAAGTATGAGGGCAGGTCTATGAGCCAGGAAGGAATTGTTCACCATGGTAGAGCTTGTGAAATCAAGGATTGAGGGTCTATCCATGCAGAAATAGAGGGGTTGACATAGACTGGGGCCCAGCCCTGGTTTCCGCCCTCCAAGATGTAGTCCATGGGTGCCAAGTCTAAGTGGAAGGTCTCCCAGTATGTATTTTTATTTGACCTATGGAAGGTGAAATTCTTTGTTTGAAGCTGTAGCTACTACTCAGCTAATGATGGGGGGGTCACAAGACCTAATGTGAAGGACAATAAGGACCTTTCATGAGCCCTGAGCAGCCCACAGAGACCAGTACAGAAAACTCTACTGAACAGTCAGGACTACGGGTACCTGGACAGGGGGATAGGCTGAGGATCCCTTTCCCCTAATTCTTGTGAGTCCCACGATGTGCCAATATTTAAACCATTCTCTTGAACATAAAATAAGAGGCTCCTCTACCTCAGAGGCAGCCAGTCCCTGCTGTCATCTCAGCACACCCGAGGCGGGACTGGCAGAACACAGGCTACAGGCTTCCCCATCACAGGCTGATTAGAACAGAAGTGCAGTGGGTTTGAGGAGCTGTGGCCTCAAGCAGAACTGCCAATGTTGCCTTTCTAACAATCACAGTGGTGCTCCGATGAGGAAGGTGCACAACTCTCACCCTTCCTCGTCCAGGTGCCTCATCACCTGTCCTCCTACCAAAACTTCTGACTGGTCCCCACCATAATCATCATGCCTAGGCATTAGAAAAATAAGTGCCACATCAGTCACAAATGCCAACAGGTCCAAGGTGGATCTGAGAGTCCCAGTAAATTTCAGAAAGCAGCCCCAGTAGAAGAAGAGCCCCCCTCTTCCTCATCTTCAGTCTTAGAGGTAAATGCCAGAGTTCATCAGCTACTGAGTCAACCAGCAATTCCCAGGCATCTCGGAAAACCCTAAACACGGCAGTTGCCTTTTCAGGAAATGTCGACACTGCATATGAGAAGGGACAAGACGAGGATCACTCATGTTCCTCTGAAGATTCACTTTCTGAATGTTCATGCAGTGATTCCCTAAATGTGAGATGTGAGAGCGTTACAACAGTTTCTTCTGTACAAGTTAAAAATGAAACAACCCATTCTGAAAGAAGACGTGCTAAAGAGAGTCACCAAAATGTACCAGCACCAATTTGCAGATATCCTCAAGAAAGCCTCTGACATCATCAAGGCTCTCTTTGCAGTCGAATTGAAAGAAAAGGACGCAGCCTGGGCTTCTTAAGCCCTGGTCAGGAAACTGAAACTCCCAAATAATGGGAGAGTGTTTCCTAGCAGGGGGTTTTCCAAGACTGATCTCCTGATGAGTATCCTGGCCATGATTTTCCTGAATGGGAACTGAGCCGCAGAAGAGGAAATCTGGGACTTCCTAAACTCCACGCAGGTATATGCTGGGAGGAAGAACTTCATTTTAGGGTAACCTAGAAAGCTTATCACCAAAGACTTTGTGAGGTTCAAGTACGTGGAGTACCGCCAGGTGCCAGGGAGTCATCCAGCACCCTATGAGTTCGTGTGGAGCTCCAAAGCTTGTGCTGAAACGACCAAGATGAAGATCCTGGAATTTTTTGCTAAGCTCAACCCTACAATTCCAAGTGCATTCTTGTAACAATATGAAGAAACTTTGCGAGAGGAGGAAGAAAGAATGCCCGCCAGAGGGGCCCGCAGGGTGGGCAGTAGTACCACAGGCAGAAATGATCCTGTGGCCACAGCCACCAGCGTCTCCACTCCTAGAAAAGTCTGATGACTTTTCATTATCATGAAGAAAAAACATCTGACATTATAAAAGGGGATCTTGTGGAAATGTGAAGGAACCCCAGAGTAAAATTTTGGGGATAATGCACTAAGAAAAAATAAAAAAGTAAAACATCATCATCCTTGATTCTTCTTCCTCCTTTCAGTCTTTCGTTTTGTAGACGTAATTTTTTTAGACATCAATATGCCTAGCTTATTAAAGAGTGTAGGAGATAGAAACGCTTAAGAAGTTGGAGCTCCTCCACTCTTTCTCTTCTGTTCGCCATTCATACGGAGCGCTTGTTTTGTGGAAGGCTCTGCGCCAGCACTGGGGATGCTGAGATAGAGACCCAGCCTGTGCTCATAGAGGTTTACTGGCCAGGAGCTATAATCATGTAAGGAGGATGTTACCACACCCTCTATGATTTAGGGCTGAGTAAAAGAGGGGGGTGATTCGGGAGGTGCTGCAGTTGAAACCATTCCAGTGTAAATTCTCTGAGTCGGGGCAGTTTAATTCTGGGGACGCCTCAAGTCAGTCCTTCAGATGTAATCTGAAATGAAGATACCTGGTGGAGTAGATGAGGTTGTGGGGCTGATGAGCAGAGGCCAGACGTGCCGATGAGATGTCTGAGTTGAGAGAGAAAAGTACTGGAATGGAAAACTGCACCATGGTGTAAGGTCTCATATAGAAACCCAATATCATGTAGTGTCTAGACAGGTCGTGAAATCAGCAGGGTCTGAAATCACATAAGTGCAATTTCCCCTCCAGACTTGTTCCTGGCAGGTAAAGACACTGACATTCAGCCATCTTTAGGACGCGGACAAGGCCCAGGTCTTGCTTATTCCTCAGTAGCAAATTCCGATCCCTCCCAGCCGGAGAGCTTTGCCAACAATCTGGTTACATACTGCCATGCCGACTAGGGCTCACCTCATCCTCTTGATACCACAAACGCTGCTGCCTCCCGCAGTCCCTGTTGATTCACTCTTCCTGAGTGCACCCCTCTGTGCCACTGGGGGACATGTGGTGTCCTCCTCCCCCTTCCTGTGAGTGTACATGATTGATAAATGGCTGTCTGGGTCATCTGGACAGGGTCCAGGGTTGTGAGTTTGGGAACTACATAACCACATGGCGGAAATTCCTTCCTCACCTCATGGGGTAGATAGGAGGCCATTGAACTTGCTGGTATACATTTGTATAGAATGACAGGTAATCCAGAAGTAAATGCCTACCTGGGGCAATATATTTGTTATCTCAGGCTGACCTCGCAGAATGCTGCAGGCTCTGGTGCTTAAACAACTGATTGTCTCCCAGTTCTGGAGGCTGGAAGTCCACAGTCAAAGACCAGGCAGGGCAGGTTCGCTCTGAGGCCTCTCTCGTTGGCTGCCAGAAGGCTACCATCTTCACGTGGCTGTCCTTTTCTGCGGGTGCATGCCTGGTATCTTCTTGTGCACCCTAAGCTCTTTCTATTACAGACCCACTCGGACTGAATGGTGGCCCACCCTAATGGTTGTATTTTGACTTAAACATCATTTTAAGGACCCAGTCTCCAAGAACAGGGACATTCTGATGCACTCGATCATCTGACATCAACATGAACTTTGGGGGACACAACTCAGCCTCCCATAGCTAAGAGTTAAGGGGTCTCTAGTATTATACCTGGGAAGAAAAGCGTGGACCCAATAAGGGGTTCGATACACACTGTGTGCAGGAGCTTCTACAGAGAGTGGTGAACGACATTGAGGTAAGACACACAGAAGCCTCTGTGTTGACACCTTTTGGTTTGAACTGGTAGAGCCAGGTAGACCTGCATCAAAAGAGTAGTTTTATTAGGGTATCCCAAGGATAATTAATGAATTATAAGAGAGGACTATATTCATGTGAGAGAGGAAAAAAAAGAACAGTAGAGGTGGTTAGCATGTAAGTACAGCTGGAAAGTCATGAAAGAGTTGGTACTGGTGAGGAACTCTGAGGTACGATCCTTTGGGGAAGAAGAAATGGCACCACCCAATATAAAATAATAAATGCTCTAATAAGGAGCAGCTATTTCCTTTAATATTCTAAAGCAAATTTTGACTGATTCACTGTTCTTTTGCTTGGAAACACTGCATTTTTTAAATTTATATATCCTGAATAATTGAAAGAAAAAAAATACAAACCATTCCTACCTAGGATGATAGTGTCTGGGTAAAAAAAGTAAATGCCGTTCATTAAGTACCCATTAATTGGCAGTCATCTTAACAATGTTTAATATACAATGCCTATGTTCCCACAGACTTTGAATGTACGGTTTATCAAACTCAGTGGACAGTTGAAGATCCTGTCTATTCTGATAGTCACAAGGCGGTAAGTGACAGAACCAGAGCAGACCCCTGGTCTGAACTCATCAAGGCACACACTGCGCCCACACTAGCACCCCGAAGCGCACCTTGAAGCAGACCTTGTGTATCTTTATTTGCTTTTCTTCTCACTATTTCAAAGAATATCTTGGGCAATTTTTTAGAAAATGTGCTCAACGTACAGATTGGAATGCAAGCTAGAATCACGTGAATAGCAAAATACTAAGAAATATGAACAATGAAAGAAAAGATAAAATATCAGTAAAAAATATGATCATGTACAATAGAATCTTACAAAATTATCTGGCTCAGCCCTTTTCCTATAGTCAGTAAATCTTTTAGCACACAGAAGTTGCCTGAACGGGCAAGTCTGGGTGGTAAAAGGAAGGAGTAGAAGTGCCTGAGTTTCTTCACGTGGTTTCTTCTCCTGCCTTTCTTTTTCCTCCGGGAGCCCACCGTCTACCCCGCGTCCTCTGCCTGCCTGGTTCTTGAGCCTCCCCAGCTCACATCACTGCTGGGACACAGTTGCAGTAGGGAGGTGCTCAAGGGTTGGCAGGGATGTGGCTTTTCCCAGGGAGCCTTTCGTGCAAGAGACATGAGCCCAGGGGAGGACCGGGATGAATGACACAAGCTTCCAGAGGGTCGCGCAGGCTCTTCCCCGCATCTGCTCTTAGATCTAGGCTGTGGGGTGACCTCGGCTGGGACAGCTCTGGGAGGTGAGGGTCTTGATGTAAGGGCTGTGGCCCACGGAAGAATGCAAGGTCCTGAGCGGGCTGTCATTGAGAATCCTGGGTCAGACCGAGGGTCCCCGCCACCCCCAGAACAGAGGGGGCGCAAGAGGTTCCGCGCCGCAGCCAGCCTTGAGAGGTCCTCTCTTTGGCGCCCTGAACAATAGCGCTCCTTCCTCCTGGGGCGTCTTGGGAGGTGAGAGACTGTTCCTTGGGCGGCGCCTCAGGGCAGGCGAGGCAGGGCGACCAGGCTCCATCTCCAGCCAAGGTGAGGAGGCCGAATGAAGAAAGAGGGAACCACGGGCGCCGGAGCCGGGGCTCTGCCGCAGCCCTGCCCCTGTTCTCAGGCTTAGGGAACCCTGGGCCAAGCGGACGCGCGGATGAGAATTCCAGCCCAAGGTCTTAGCGAGGGGTGAGCCTTGCCGTAAGTGGGGGCCCAGTTCAAATGGGGCAGGCGAAGAAGACCCTAGCAAGGGTCAAGACAAGGAAACTGGGCAGAAATTCCGTCCGAGGATCCGCCTGCAGCCCCCAGGGTGGGGGTTTGGGGGCGTCAAACATGGCAGACAGGTGGATGTCAGCGTCTCTTTCCTAAGAGATGGGTCGGGAAGTTGAAGGCTTCCCTGGTGGGGACCCAGGGAGAGGGTTGTCCCATGCCCTGAACACAACGAAGGTCGGAACTCTGAGGATCCTGAAGAAATCGGCAACCGCGAACAGGGACGCATCCGGGACCTTGTCACTGGGTCAGCCCTGGGAGTCCATGGGCGAGGGTGTCAGGCCACTTATGCCAGCAGGGTCCCAGGGGTGGCGAAAGGCTTGGTTTGAGGGGAGGGGGTTCAAGTTAGCAAAGCATCCCAGCTGTGGCAGGAGGCAGAGGACCTCGGGAAACCCGCCCTCCTGGCAGACGGGGATACCTTTGGCTTCGGGAACATGACGGACACTGCTTGGCTCCTTTCGTGTCCTCCGAGTTGGGGGTGGGGGAGGGGAGCTGCCGGGTGGCGGGAGTGAGATATTTCCAACCAAAACGACGGTGTACCCTCCGCACTGGGGGGATTTGCAGGTCTCCCCCGGAATTAAGGGGTTCCCTGGACCATGATATCTGCGGGATGGCCACAGTGAGGTTTGAGGGAACCCCCATTCTCATCTTTGGAGAACACGGGCAGCTGAGGTGTCTCTCACCGTCCTGGGGGGATGGGGTGGTCTCAGAAAAATCTGGCAGGAGGAAGGCAGGCAGGCTATGACAAAAGTCAAAAGAAAGTTGGAAGGGACCACGTGCCATTGAATGAGATCACGAAATCCTGTCTCACCTTTGCATTCAGAACCAGAAGGCTCAAGGCAGGCCTGCCAGGCTGAGGCTCACCCTCACTTACTGACATGTCATCTAAGAGAGAATAGATCTTTCCTGTCAGGGTGCAGCCACCGTCCAGAGAAGGGAGGGATACCATGCAGTGCCTGAGACCGGGTGATATCCTGCATGACAACTGAGGGCCACGCGGCCCTTGAAGGAGAGGGCTCCACGTAACCCTCAGTTGGGTGCCCCCTGACAGGCATAGGTGTTATGGAGCCTTTCCAGTCTCTGCTCGTGGGGCTCAGGATGTGCCGGCTTGATGTGAAGTGTCAAGTCCCCTGCAACACAATAGAGTGGGCCCAGGACCTGCCAGTAGTTGACAGGATGATTCTAATTGTGAACTGAGAAGACCCTCACATCCTAGAACTCCCGGTGCCCACTTGCAATCCCCATGGCTGTCATCTCAGTACACCCTAGGCAGGCCGGGCTGGCAGGCTGTGGTCCGAGGTTCCCTCTGAGTGCCTGCACAGAGTTCTCCAGGGATGGTGGGACCACAGCAGGTGCCCTGAGGGTTCCTACACACTGCCCTCACAGAATCCTGCAGAGGCGGCCCTGGGGACAACCAAGGTAGCATCAATCTCCCTGTTGAAGGCACTCACACCATCTCATTCTCTGTGCTCCAGGTGTCCGCATCTCCTGACTTCCTGCCAGACTCCTGCCTGCTGTCCCTGACCATCGTGTCATCATGCCTCGGGGTCAGAAAAGCAAGCTCCGGGCCAGAAAGAAACGCCAGCAGGCCCGAGATGAGAAGCAGAGTTGTGGCAATGCTGAGGGCCCTGCAGCCTCAGAAGAGGAGGCCACTCCCTCCCCCTCTCCTCAGGGTGAAGCTAGTGTCCAGAGCCTGCCTGTGGCTGGGGCACAGAGCACTTCCCTGGAGCATCAGAGAACATCGGCCCACACCAGTCCAGCTGGCGCTCCGGGTCCTGGGCCTGATGAAGCTTCCAGTACCCACGATGAGGATATGGCAGAGTCCTCTGAGGCCCCAGCCTGCACCAAGTGCTCAGAGATGGATGTTTTCAACAACAAGATTGTGAATTTGGAGCTGTATATTCTGTACAAGTATAAAATGAAACAAACCATTTTGAAGGGAGACATGCTGCGTATTGTCGGGCCAAGCTACCGCTACCAATTTGCCGAGATGCTCAAGAAAGCCTCTGAGCGCTTTGAAAATGTCTTCGCCTTGGTCTTGAATGAGGCCGACACACCCAGTCACTCGTATGTCCTCGTCAGCAAACTGAAGCTCCCCAATAATGGGAGGGTGCGCCCTGGCAGGGGGCTACCCAAGACTGGTCTCCTGATGAATATCCTGGCCGTGATCTTCATGAATGGCAACTGTATCTCTGAGGAAGAGCTCTGGAGGAAACTGAATGTGATGCACGTGTACGCTGGGAGGAAGCACTCCGTCTTTGGGGAGCCCAGGAAGCTCATCACCAAAGATTTGGTGAGGCTCAAGTACCTGGAGTACCGCCAGGTGCCTGGCAGTGATCCTCCGCGCTTTGAGTTCCTGTGGGGCCCACAAGCACATCTTGAAACCACCAAGAAGAAAGTGCTGGAGTTTTGGGCGAAGTTCAATGATACCGTTCCCAGTGCCTACCCACACTGTTATGAAGAGGCTTTGCGCGATGAGGAAGACAGAACCCTGAGGCCAAGCAGGAGATGCGGCAGCCCTGGCTGCCGCTATTGCCAAAGTCTGCGCACCTCCCAGGGCGACCCCTAGAGAAGTCTGAGGCTTTTTGTCCCCCAGGCCAGAATATTTAATATCACAAGAGGGATCATAATCTTGGAAATATGAAAGAGTCCCAAATTGAAATTCTTCAGGTAATAGAATAGAAAAAAAGAAATAGTATGATCAGTCTTAGTTTTCATTGTTCCTCTGACCAGTTTTGTAAAGCGTAAAAGAATCCGAAGTGTAAAAGAATTCCAAAGTGAAAGAGAATAGAAAAAAAATAGTGTGATCAGTTTTAGTTTTTGTTGTTCGTCTTAGTTTCCAGTTTTGTAAAATATAAAAGGATCCCTAATGTCAAAAGGTCCTCGAAGTGTAATTCTTGTGGTAAGAGAACAGGAAAAAAATATGGTCAGTCTTAGTTTTCTTTATTCCACTTCGTTTCCAGTTTTGTAAAATTAATATGTTATAGTTTGATGTTCTTAATTTGTTGAAGAAGTAAGAGAAATTAAACCTTTAGAAATTACATCCTGTGTTTCCTGGCTCTTTTATCCACCACATGCGGAGTATCTGCTCTTGGGAATTTCGGTGTTAGTACTGGGGATGCTAATGGAAATCCAGCCTCTACTCGTATACTTTTATTGCCTGCAAGTTGCTCTCATATATGTGTAAGATGTCAAAGAACCCATTTGACCTAGAGGTGAATTAAAAAGAATGGGTGAAGGTGTTCCTTATGAGAGCAGTTAGGTAGTAATTGCTGGAGTTGGGCAGTTTGGGACTTTAGGAAACTGCAAGTCCTCAGTGGGATGTGATTTTCATGGATGCTATGCAGTGGGTCAGTGGCGGCTTTGGCAATGGCGAGTAGAGGCCAGTCCTTCCGATGTATGCTTCAGAGTTGGGGGACAAAGTGTGTGTTAGTGTGCTGCGGCTACTCTAACAAGATACCACTGACTGGGTGGTTTAAACTGCATCTGCACAGTTATGGCAACCGGGAATTGGAAATCAATGGCCCCAGTGAATTCCCCTGGTGAGAGCTCTTTTCTTACTTGCAGATGGCCTTCTTCTCTTCGTTACCTGACATTGTAGCAAGAGAGTTCTCGTCTGTCTTGCGCTTCTAGAATGGTAATCGTGATGGTCACCCTGTCCTCATGACATCAAGGAAACCTAAGTATTCCCCAACACTCTACCTTCAAGTAACATCACACTGGGGATTCAAGTATCAACATATGAATTGGGGTGAAGGGAGAGGAGGACAGCAACATTCAGTCTATACTGGAAAACTGCTGCTACAATTACTTGTTTACTGTGGGTATACCAGAGAGTAATGTCCACTTGAGTCAGGAAAGGAAGGTACCCTTTGATCTTGTCCCAGTGCAGGTGAACACATTGTGCAAACTGGGTGTTCTATGTACAGCATCTCCATGGAGTTTCTGAGAAGCAAGGGTGAACCTCCCTTGAGGTCACATGACAGCAGCTACTGCTGTGACACCCTTTAACCTGAGGTGAAATAGCTAGCCTGCTCTCTTAAAGCAATATTTAAACCAGGTTATCTTAATTGAATTTGGCAAGATAAGCTTTTGTTGAGGGTGTATTGTATGTAAACAGAGGGAGTTGATATGTAAGGGCAACAAGAAGAGATGAAAAGACTTGTACCTGTAAGATGACAGCAATTCTAGAAGCATGAGGTGCTTCCAGCTCAGGAAGGCAACTCTTCACCTAAATTAAAAGCAGGTGCTCTAATGTATAGTTTTTACTTTGCTTTATTAGCTGGGGACAACTTTTGGTCCATTCAGTGTTTTTTCCAGAATATTATATATTTTATAACATCTTGAATTAATAAAATTCCACACAAATACAGGGTGGGTATCACCTAGGATCAAAACAATGATATTTACCTCCATGTTTAAAATATTGGGCAATATTTGCATGTCATCTTAACATGTGGTTTTTGTTTGTTGTCTAACCTCTACACCTGGGGATTTGCATAAAGCAAATTCTCCCTGATATAATTGGATTCAATATTTATATGATGGACTGTATGCAACTAATATTGGCAGCCACAAATTACACTGATCGCTGTATTACAAATGTTGTGTTTATATGTATGTTGTCCAACCTCTTATAAAGCAATTATGCTATTTTAAAATATCCATGTAGTGACTGAAAATGTTCTTCTTCCACTTAATTGAATTTCATGCGAACAGTGCAAAACTACATTTCCTTCAGGGGTTATTATTCAATGCAGAATTTCTTAAGGTAACAGGGACCTTTCACAATATAAATGCCATGCAAATTGAATTGGGATTCTTGACTTTCTTAGTTTTTCTCCTCTTTAAGTATTCTTACCTTCCCAGTTGTTAGCTACCCCTTACATACTTCTGTTTCATCCTCAACCATCTGCAGTTACGAAGATTCCCTTCATAAACTGTCCTCATAACAAAGGCATGAATGATTTTACTCACATTGATATAATTTCACATTGTTTTGTGCCTACAAGATTTTCACTCTATGGCAACATCTGTTGTATGACTTTCCTTTTTTTTAAAGTCCTCATCTCTCATCTCCTATGAGCATTATTTTATTTGTGTTTTATTTCTACCATTGTTCTCTTTCCACAACTCATTAATCTAGTTTTACCAAGTGCTTTGATCCAAAGGTGATTCTCTAGATTATCTGCTATCGAGGACATAAACATCTTAGTTTGCAATGTATTTCTCATACTATTTTAACTTTTTATCTTTTAAAAATTTGTCAACATTCTCCACAAAAGTAAAAAATAATACATAAATGCTAGTATTCCCCCAAATACCATTGTATATTTCAACCATCATTGTATTCCTGCAAATAAAAACCTTCCTTTTTTCTCATTTTAAGATCTTGTTTCTATATTATGTCTTTGCCAACCATCCAAGAGATCCCCTGTGCCATTTTTCCCTTTAAGTATTTACACATCACTGCTGGATCATAAAGCCATTGTTAGTATCCTCCATGATTATATGTTCTGTCACTTTTGCTTTCTGCAGCTCCTTTGATATATATTCTTTGCTGAACTTGGACAGTTTCTTATACTTTTAGGTGCTCAATATGCTGTTTTGTGAATTGCTCAAACTGACTTTAGATATTCAGTTTCTGAGTATGGAACCTCCATCTCTGAACAAGAGAATTTCTTAACTGCTCTACATTGTCCTCTGATTCGTACATCAAGGTGTGACAATCTTCACACCACCTGAAATTACATTTCTCTCTTTTTTATCTACAATCTTTGAAATATGTTTCTTTTAAATTTATTTTTATGTAAGTAGAGTTGGCAAACAATCTCATATTGGTTATATTAGTTTCAGGTGTACAACGCAGTGATTCGACGTTTTTAGACCTTACAAAGATGTTTCTATGCCATCGCCTATACCTTTTCTCTCCCCTGAGTAACACTACTTGTTTTGTTCATTAATATTGTTGTGTCCTAACTGTCCCAGAAACAATTTAAGGCTGTTTACAAGAATAAGAATTTTTGGTAAGATAATATAACAATTTCCATTGTAAATGATTAAAACAAGATTTCTACAAATGAGACAAGAAATGACAAGTAGAAATCAACAAGGAGGTAGCTGTGTAGCCCATTTGTTTTCATCAGAAACTTGGTCCTATGCTTTCTAACATCCAGTGCAAATGGAGAAAAAAGATGATGTTATTGACACGTAAGGCCCTCAAAGTGAAAAGCATTGCCTACTGCAAGAATCAAAAGAGAGTGATAGACCTACTGAGCTAGAACATGCCATGCATAGCACAGGGAGTCCAAGACCAAGGCGGAGGGGGGGCCCAAGACCTGGAAGGGAGTAAGAGGTCTAGGGGTGTGAACTCAAGAGCAGGGCTGAGAGCTCCCGAGCTTGGGGTGGGAAGCCCAAGAGAGACAGAGAGATCAGTAGAGCCAGAGCACTGGAAGAGGGGTCTCATGGGACAGAAGGGAGCCCACAAGAGGAGAATTTGCTGTGTGTCTCTTGGCTCCTTACACACGTGAACAGGGAATAGTGTAATTGATACACCTTGGTCTCACCTCAGTCTTGTAGTGAACACAGCAAAATGTTTCACAGATCTCCCAGATTCATAGCTCTCTGCTGTCTCGGTGCCTTTCGCTGGCTCGGAGGAATGCACAGAGTTGTATTCTCCAGCCAGTCTCTCTCCGTTACGTTTTCCTGGCCTGCTTGTATTGAAGATGCTCTCCTTCTCTCCTAACATCCCTTTCACTTCACTTTCCTTCTTCCTGGGTCCTCCTGTGTTGACCCCATTCTTCCCCGTTTTGAGAGAGCTCTTCCCGATATCTCTTCTGATAGCTAAGTCCCCTTCCCACCCTAAAGTTTCATAGACGTGTTCAGCAAAAGAGGGCTCTGAGGCTAGGTTCCTCATTGTCCTTATGGTGCAGGTGGGGAATTTGTATCTTACAAAAAGGTCACATGGCCTTGAAAAATGTAGGCATAATGCTCAGTCTTCACTATTGTAAGAATTGTGTCTTTAAAAATGTGAATGTTTTTAAAAATTCGATTTTACTAGTCTTCCATAGTCTTCACATGATGTATAATGGATCACTTTCAAGAAATTCTCAACCATCGTTAAAGCGTTTGAGCCACATTTTTATTTGCCCCACATTCATTGCAGTGTCCCAAAAAGCCTTCTGAATAATCCAAATGGTTCCCGTGAAGGGGTGTTGAAGCACAAGACAAACTTTGATCCAAATGTGTTGCTGCACTCCCTCCATCATTTTGAATGTGATGGCTACACAGTATACATGTTCACTCCACATGCCTCCCAACCCCACAAACTAGTACAGTTAAGTCGTGACTGTTCATGCAGGACCATTGCCATCCACTCTCTTTGGCTGCCTGGTTATATAGATGCCATACAAACCAATCTCCTTATAATAACAATGGCTGGACTTTTTCTGGACACAATTCCTGTACTTAGGCTTTGAAATCCAATGAAGGAACTGACAACCTTTGCTCACTGCGATTTCAGAACTGCTCTTGTCTAGGGACTCTTTTCTGCCTCTCATTATGCTTGTC